TTTATTATTATTATTATTATGCAGTTCATGTATATTATACTTTATTATACTATGATAAAGAAAGATATATATATATATTATTTAAATATATATATATATATATATATATAGCTTGGATTTCAATCAAAATCAATATGCAATTTTAAGTATATTATATGTACAGAATATTCTTCAATAAACTTTTTATTTAAAAAAAAATATATATATATATATCATATATTATTAATAAAACTAATAATAATTCAAATAATACAGTTTTGTTTGTGTAATTGTATTATATAATAAATTAAAAAAATTATGCTTTTATTAAAACTAATATATATAAAATTTATATATTTAAATAATAGCATTAATGTGATGATATAAAAAAATTAATTTTTTTTACATATTTTGAATATATATATAGATATATTTTTTTATTATAATATACCGGTATATATATATAAATGTAATTTTTTATACACAAAAAAATCAATGAAAAGTTATTTTATATTAAAGTAAATCTGATAAATATATATACAGTATATATATATAGGAATATTCTTAAATGTCAAACATTTATATCGTTATCATTAATCACTGCAACAAAAATGTGAGAAAATTGTGTTTTACTTTATCTTTTCGTACAAATATATTAAGTATAAACTATATATATATATATATATATATATAATATTATATATAAAGTATATATATTTAATATATTAGTCTTATTATTAAAAACAAAATATTTTAAAATCCAATTTAATCCGCAAAAAACACATTTACTATTTATTATTATTATTATTAAAGTGGTATTTCACAAGTTTTTTTTTGTTAAATAATTTTCTAACTCTCTCTCTCTTTCTCTCTCTCTCTCTCTCTCTCTCTCTCTCTCTCTCTCTCTCTCTCTATTTGTCAAAAACAAAAAAATGTAATTTAAATATTTTTTTACTTAAATATATATATATATATACGTACACACCATATGAACAAACAAACAAACAGATAAAAAATATATTAAAATATTTTGCAAACAAAAATATGTCTTTAAAAAAAGACAGTGATTTTATATATAAATAAAAAATATATAAAATAAATAAATGAAATAAATAAATGGAAAAAATAGGAAAATAGTTTTCTAAATATTTTCTTTATATATAAAACTTTATATATAATTTTTAACAAATAATAATCATAATAAATATTTAGCATAATATAAATGTCGTTTAATATATTTATTTTCATTTTTTTTTTGAAAAAATAAATTTCAAAAAATAAATAAATCTTTTCATTTAGTAACCCATAAAAATCACAAACCAGTGAAACGCTATTAGACTATTGTGTGTACTAATCGTTTGCTATAAAAATAAAACAACAACAAAAATTTATGTCTACTATTTCAATGTGTATGTATGTACAGTATGTGTGTGTTTGTATGTGTGTGTGTTTGTGTATGTGTGTGTATGTGTGTGTATGTATGTGTGTATATGTATGTGTGTGTGATTGTATGTGTGTGTGTGTGTGTATGTATGTGTGTTTATGTATGTGTATATATGTATGTATGTATGTGCATATGTGTGTGTGTGTATGTATGTGTGTGTGTCAGCTGACAACATGAGAGAGAGAGAGAGAGAGAGAGAAAGAGAGAGAGAAAGAGTAGGTCAGCCGTTATGGAAAAAGATAAAGTCCTATACTTTACTGTATATACAGTACAATAAGCATTGGATATAAAGGCATACTATGTGTGTGTGTGTGTGTGTGTGTGTGTGTGTGTGTGTGTGTGTGTGTGTGTGTGTGTGTGTGTGTGTGTGTGTGTGTGTGTGTGTGATGTTATATGTATGTGTATTGTATTGTCTTATATCTACAATTAGTACAATAATACAGTACTATTATATATATAATAATAATAATAATACAGTACATAGAATATTCTGTGAATTTTTGTATTATTATTTTCCATAGAAATATTCTGGTAATTATACAGAATTGCTATATATATATATATATATAATACAATAATATATATATATATATATTTCTACAAAATTATTGTGTGATATTTGTCTGCACGCAACACACAAAATAAAATCATACGATTCACACACACACACACACACACACAAAAATAAAATATAAAATTGTTTAAATAAAATAATATTAATAGAGAAAAATTTTTGTTTCACAAAAAAAATAAATAAAAATCAGCAGCGGTTTGGTTCGGTTGGTTGAATTGGGACATTGGGAGGGATGGATGGATGGATGGGTGGATAGATAGGGGTAACCAAGTGTTATATACACACCCATCCCCATCAGTTCCCCTAATAATAATAATACTAATACTGATGATGACTGTCATCATCATCATCATCATCATCGACCCATATAACAGTAGCAACAACGACAACAACAACGGGCATCCAAGTAGACATCGGTGAGCGCCGGTAGCGACTGCGCGCACCAAACCAACAACAACAAAAAAACAACAACGTTAGGTTAGCTTTTATATATAGATATTTATGATATATCTACGGTATGGTATGGTATGGTATGGTATATCTATTTGGTGTACACTGTATATGGGATTGAAATTTTTAGCAAAACTAAGCACAGGGCACACACACACACACACACACACACACACAACCATCGGGCATAACCATTGAGTGAGTGAGTGAGTGAGTGAGAGAGAGAGAGAGAGAGAGAGAGAGAGAGAGAGAGAGAGAGAGAGAGAGAGAGAGAGAGAGAGAGAGAGAGTACATATTGATATAATAAACGGTACAACAAATATATCGAACACTTTTAGGTTCACATACCAGTGCTATCCCTACTACTACTACTACTACTGCTATACTACTGGCACTGGTATATGTGTAATATATGTCTGTGCAAATCGCGGGTTTCATATATGTGTGTGTGTATACTCTCAGTGTCGGTATATATACTGTATGTGTGTGGAGTGTGTAAGTGTATACACTTTATTCTGTAATATGTATGGTATGTACAGTATGTATGTATGTAATGTGCTCCACATATATTGATATATATATATATATATATAGTATATACCAACTCTCACTTTCTATCTAACTGTGCACTCACTCACAGACATACACACACACACACACACACACACATACACACTGACTGACTGTCTGAATGACTGACTCTCTCTGTATTTCTTTTTGCATTTGAATCTGTCGTTTCCACAGAATATACCGATAGTATAAAACTAGAGTCAAAACAGTTGAGAGAAAGAGAGAGAGAGAGAGAGAGAGAGGAATATATATATATATACAGAATCATAGTTTTCATTCATTGATTTCCTTATATTTTTTACTATACTATACTAAACATACATTATTGATATATATATATACGATATGAAACTATTGACTCAAAAACAACAACAACAACAACGAGAAAAATATATATATAAATCTAAAAAAACAAAAAATTTTTGTGAATATTTTTACTGAACGACTAACTATTACACACACACATTGACTGTATGTATAGTAAGCCGATATGTGTGTCGCCGATCAATACAAGTGGCCATAAATTATATAAATAAATATAAAATATTAAATTTTTTTTTTGATTTTATTTTGTTGTTGAAATGTGATTAAATAATAATAATTTAAAAAAAAATAAATATAATAATTTCTACTATACCTTAATGATACTATAATAATAATAATAATATCATGATTATTGAAATAAAAAATTGTTTTTAAATAATAATATTTAATTTCAAAATTTAAATTTAAAATGAAAATGTTTCTATATATAAAAATTAAATATATATATACTAAATATAACTATACAGTATAATAATAATAATAATAATAAAGTAAATTACATAATAATAATAATAATGACAGTTAAGTTATGCAACGTCAATAAATTGACAAATTAATTAATTAATTAATTATAGCATCATGGTCATCATGGGCTATTGTGTGTTATCATGATTTAACCATTAAACAATAAACAACAACAACAAAATTGCTAAATAATAATAATAATAATACTGTTATATAATAATAATTACCAAACAGTTTAATAGTGTATACTATTTACTACTACTACTACTACTAGTGTTTGATATTTATTTGCCACTGATTTTTTTTGTGGTCACGTTTGTGTGTGTGGGGGGACAGTTGGTGTGTGTTTAGCTACTGGTGCTGCTGATGGTAGTAGTAGTAGTGTGGCTGCGGGTGTGTGTGTGTGTGTGTGTGATTGATTGAAAAGATATTATGGTTGACCAGTGGATGGTTACTACTACTGGATCAGCTGCAGCAGGAGGTTATCCTAATTATAACAAAATGGACCGTGGTAATGCATTTTCGTGCATGAAATACACGCTAATATTTATCAATGTTTTCGGTTTCATACTATCCATATTCAATGCACTGTTCGGTATCGGCTATCCCCATAACTACTGGCCAGGTGGCTATACGGGYGGCCAAATGGCCATTTGTTCCCTGTTTGTTATGGCCTTTACTACCGTCGGCTATTGCGGTGCACACCATCACAAAAGCTATCTACTGATTGTCTACGGTTTTATTATATTGTTGTTGTGCGGCGGCAAYGGTGTCGTCTATTTCATCTACAACGACAAGTCCATCATCGGTTCAATTAGCAATGTCAATCTGGCCATACTGGCCCTGTTCACCCTGTTTGTACTGTTTCTGACATTTACCCTGACATTCAAATTGCGTACAACCCGTTCAAACATACCGGTACTCGGTATGGGTGTTGGCGTAGGTGGCGGTGGTCCACATGTTGTCCGATGCTCGACACCGACAGCCCTATTACAACGGGCCGATAGTGCCCAACAACAACAACAACAGCTATTACTACACCAACAACAACAACACCATCAGCAACAGCAACAACAACAGCAGCAAAATAGTGCCACCAATTATACGACTACTACGACAACTACATCATCGGCCACACATCCCTGTCCTGTTCCCGGTTGCAACTATGGCAAAGTTATTACATCAACATCATAG